ATATATAGATATATAGATATATAGATATATAGATATATAGATATATAGATATAGATATATATCTCCTCAAGTAAATGTGGTAAAAGCTGACCACAAATGAATTTTTAGATTCTGAATTAAGTATTCGCTAGAACAAATGCTGGGTGGGTTTGATAAAATTAATCTTATTTAATGTTAAGAGGCACTGATTAAGAGAAATCTCTCAAATTATTTCAATCTATTAAACTGAAGCATCAAAGAAAACACAGAAAAAAATGGAATGTATATTTGGATAAATGGCAATCTATATGTAAATTCTACAGAACTGATAGGATTAAAAGATCTTGGAACTAAATTTTCTGATGAAATTAAATTTAAAAATAATTCCTGGGACTCCACTTTCCCCAAAATAGAAATTAAACTAATTAGGTAACTTGTTTTTTTGAAATACTCTGAAAAATTCCAATTCACCAAAAGTATATAAAACAGTTAAATAAATTAAAAAAAAGGTGTGCATAGATGAAAAGGGAAATCATTTTGATATTGCTTTCGCTGAAAGGTACTGTAGATATATATATTACAGCAATGTAATAGAAATGGCACAGTCTCTGAGACACTTTTCACATTTATTTACAATTTAAGACTGACTTTCATCTCAAAATCACATATCCATACACCTATTTTTTTGTCGGTTTCACTTAAAATCAAATGCATGGTTTGTCAAACAAAGACTGTAAACAAATATTTGCCATGTCTGTTCTATGTAACAACAGAAATGGCTTTTAACAGAAATTCATCAACTCCCCCACTGTTTTATTATAAATACAGGTATCAAAACCATTCTGAACATATTTTTGATACTAATATTAGTCAGCACCCACACTGCATTCAAAAATTAACAATAATATTCATTGTACCTGATACATTAAAGAATTTAAACTGCAGCTCTCTCACTAAGCAAGGTGGATAAAGCATGCCCTTGATGGCATCCTCCTGGAGATTGGTTTTCAGAAACATACATCATTCCACAGCAACCTGACACTTTTCCAGCAAGCTTCCGTCTTGTAAACCCAAGTTCTATTTTGAGTACTCCAGGTTTATGCTTAAATGACAAGTGTCTTGGTAAGAAGAATGTGCTGCATTTTTCTTCCTGTGACCTGAAAACATAATGCGTGTACATATACTAAGTGTATTCTTACAACTGTCCAGGTCATGTTTACCAGCTGGAATTCTTTGACTTAATGTGTGGGTATTTTGCATTGTGATACTTAATCAAGACATTAACATGAGTAGAAGGTTGTTAAGACAAGTTTGAGATTCACTAAAATTAATTGTTGTACGTCTGTCCTTCTGGTGGTTGTGGAAGCTTCATATTTTCTTTGGACATCATTAGACGTCTTAATTCTTGAAGTACAACTTTAATGCTATATGAATTTTGCCATTTTGCTAACACTGGTATGCTTCGTGCATCCACCTGAAGGGAGAAAAAAAGAATAAAATTAACTACTAAGGATAAAGTACGAATTTTAAAAAATAAATATTAGTAAGAGTGTGTTTTGTTGGGTTTTTTTCTTTTGGGATAAAGTATCAATTTTTAACAATAAATTTCAATAAGAGTATGTTCTGTTGTTCCTGTTTTCTATTTTTTTATTGGTTTGCTTACAAAGTTCATATACACTGTATTTTACCATATTCTTCATTCACATTGTTGTTTAATACAATCATTCTCATGCAATATGTTTTATAAAATTAATAACCATTGGACCTTACCCATCATTACCCTGTCTTTTCACCCAGATCCTTCCTTTTTCTTTTCTACCTTCCCTCCACCTACCAAACAGTGCAACCCTGTGGTTTAAAAGAAAAAAAAATTCTTGGTCTGGAAAAGTTATAAAATGTTAACTTTTGTTTATTGAAAGATCTTATAAAAAGTAAAAAATAATCTTACCAATTGGGAGATTATACAAGGCAAATATCCAAAAAGAACCTAATAACAATGTATCTAACAAGTGAACAACTTACCCAAAAAAGATAAAACAAAAAAATTAAAAATTGAATAAAGGACTTGAATAGACCACATTTCACCAAAAAGGCATTATAATGGCCATCACACACATGAAAAGATACTCAAAATATCACTTCTCTAGCCATTGGGATGGTTAATACTGTGTGCCAACATGGCCATGATCCTCAGTATAATGTGACTGTCCTATGAATTATAGTCTAGCTGATATGATATTCATGAAGTTGGATTAGATCAGCCTAACCTGAACTCCTCAGGGTTGTGGCTTGTACTGAATAAGTATCTGGCCTCTGGAAAGTTAGAACTTCTCTGTCCAATTCTGCATTTGGGTCATCATCTCCAGACCTGAATCTATAGTATGATCTCCTGGCCTTAGACTCATCAGACTCTGAGACTTACTGTCTCTGATGCTTCTTGTACTGATGACTTTGATTTGGTAGCCTCCTCAAATGCTTCTGTCCTAGGGTCTGATCCATAGACCTAAGACTCAAGAGTCTTGACAAGCATGTGAACACATGAGTTATTTCCTTGAAATAAAAGTATCCATACCTCACTCTGTGTGTGTGTGTGTGTGTGGGGTGGGGTGGGGTGGGGGGTTGCTGAAGCATCACTGGTTTTGCTTCTCTAGCATACAGCCTAAGATAGCCATCAGAAATACAAATCAAAACCACATGAGATATCATTTCAAGTCATTCAAATGGTCAAGATTTTTTCAAAAAAGGAAAACAACAAATGTGGGCAATTACACGGGGAAACTGGAACCTTCTATATAATACCAGTAGGAACGCAAAATAGCACAGATGTTATGGAAAACAAAGTAGTAATTCCTCAGAATAATAAACAATGCTTCTGAGTGGTTATCTAAGGTACAAATATTGGTTTCTTCCCATAAAGAGCAAAGAAGAGTAAAGAATATTTAAAAAACACAAAGGAATATTGGACCATATGAATAAACTTCACTCTCCACGACATAATGAAATGTGCAAAGAGCTGGAGTCAGAAAATCAAGGAACTGAAGAACAAATTTAAACCTGGAGTTGCAATACTTAAGGATGCTGTAGGCAGAATATTAAATGATCCAAGAAGCATTAAAAGATGGAAAGAGTATACAGAGTCACTGTACCAAAAGGAATTGACTGACACAGAAGAATTTCTGTGGTGATGAAGGAAAGTAGCTCAAGCTGCTCTGAAAGAAAAGGCAAAAAACAAGGCCCCAGGAATTGACGGCATACCAACTGACATATTTCAACAAACAGACTCTGCCATTAATGCCCTCACCAAGTTGTGCCAAGAAATCTGGATGTCAACTACCTGGCCAATTGATTTGAAGATACATGTATCTGTTCCAATTCCAAAGAAAGGTGACCTGAAAAGAATGGGGAAATTTGTGAACAATATCATTATTATCACATGCAAGCAAGATTCTGGGGAAGATTATCCAAAATGATTGCACCAACACATCAACAGAAAATTGCCAGATAGGCAGGTTGGGTTTAGAAAAGGCCATGGTGCTAGGGATATTATGTTAGATGGATCTTGGCTGAAAGCAGAGAATACCAGAGGAATGCCTGTGGTTCAAAGGCATTTAACTGTGTGGATCAACAAACTGCAGCTAACTTTGAGGAGAATGTGAATCCCAGAACACTTGATTGTGCTAATGCGAAACCTATACTTGCACCAGGAGGCAGTCGTCAGAACAGAGCAAGGAAACACTGCATGGTTCAAAATTGGGAAGGCTATACACCAGGGATGTGCCCTATCCTCTCAGTCTACATGCAGAACAGACCACATGGGAGGCTGGGCTCTGTGAGGAGCAATATGGCATTAGGATTGGAGGAAGACTCATCATCAATGTGTTCTACAGATGATACAATCCTGCCTGCTGAAACTGAGGAGGACGTGAAGTGGTGCTTGCTGAAGAAGGTCAAGGACTACAACCTTCAATATGGATTGAAGCTCAACATCAAGAAAACAAAGACTCTCACCACTGAACCAATTGGAAGCATAACAATAAATGGTGAAGAGAATAGATCATCTTTAGTTGGCTTGGTTCCACAGCCAGGTACCAGCAGCCAGGAAATCAAAAGATGAATTGCACTGGGAAAGTCTGCAATCAGGGACCTCTCCACAGTCCTGAAAAGCAACAATGGCAGTCTGGAGACCAAGATGTGCCTGATCCAGGCCATAATTTTCACAATAGCTTGCTATTCATCAGAGAGCTGGACATGACTTCGGATGACAGAAAGAGAACAGACGCCTTTAAACTGTGGTGCTGGAGAAGGGTACTGAATACAACATGGACTGATAGGAGAACAAACAGGTTCATCCTGGAGAGAGTGAGACCAGGCTGCTCCTTGGAGGCAAAAATTCGAAGCTTTGTGTGGAACCAGTCCTTGGATAGGGATACAGTGGAGGGATAGCTTAAGAGAGGAAGACCCTTGATGAGATGGACTGACTCAGTGACCAGCGTAATGGGGGTAAGTGCGTCAGAGACAATAAGGTTGTACCAAGATAGAGCAGGTTTCAGGACTGTTGTTTCTGCAACTCAACGGCCAACAACAACTCCATGACTGGAGACCACAAGAACTAGATGCTGTTATCAATGCTGAGTAATATAAAAAGGGTGACAACAAAAGGTGCTTGATAAAGTGGAAGAAAAATGTAGGGCAAAACTCAAGATCATACAAAGGACCAGGCTTACTAGTCTGGTAAAAACAGTGGAATCCTCGGGACTGTAGTCTTGCTTAACCTTCAAGCATGAAACCGGTATCATCTCTCTGAACTTAACTTTCAGCCAAACAGACCCGCCATTAGAGTGATCAGTAACACCAGGGATGAATACATTCATTAAACCAGTCAGTACTGCAAGAACCAAAAAGGGAGCATGGCCCAGAGACAAGGCTCAAAAAATGGGAAGGAAGTATAAGTGAAATGGAAACATGGAAGACGTAGGAGGAATCTTCTTGTACACTGTCGAGTTGGGAAGCACAGCTGAACCTCCAGGGAGTGAGTTTTCAGAAGCTATAAACTGCACATGAGGAGACTGTCCATGTTTGTTCTGGAGAAGCAGCTGGTGGATTTGAACTGTATGCCTTTGGGGTGACAGAGCAATTCCTTACAACTGAGTCACCAGAGTTCCCTCTTGTGTACTAAGGGGATTGTAATCAATGTCATGAAATATGTGTGGACTATAAAATAAAACTGAAAACAGAACTATTCTATGACCCAGCCTACTACATACATAATAGTAGGTACATAAACAAAGGACTAGAAAGTAGAGGTTCAAAAGAGATTTGATGACCAATTTTTACTGCAGCACTAATGACAATAGTCAAAAGGTAAAAACAACCAAAATGCTCATTAAAAGAGAGAAACAAAAGCAAGTGATGGGACATACATACTACTCTGGCAGAAGAAATGAAGTCTTGATATATGCTGCAATATGTGAGGTTGAAGACAATATGCGAAGTGAAATAAGTCAATCACAAAAAAGGTCAAATAGTATATGACCTCATTTATTCAGTACTGAGTTTCAGTTTATGGTACTGAAAAATTATATTAAAAGTAGGATTGGTCAACATCCATCAAAAAGAAAAAGAACAAAAATCTATCTCCACAGCCTTGAAAAGAAAGGAAAGTATGAGAGCAGGAATCAATGAGATAGAAAACATAAAAACAACTGAAACTATCAACAAAAGGAGAAACTGGTTTTTCCCAGTCAGTAAGTTTTCTTTTCACCCCACTGGAAAAAGTTTCTGATGAGCACAGGATTTAATCTTTAGAAAGTTTCATTCATCAATTTTATCCTCTCCAGAATGTGCATTTGTCAGTCTCTTTATATCATAGACTACACCTTCTAAGGTTGATCCCAGTTTGTTTCTTATGAACTTTATGGTTTGGGACTTTATTCTCAAGTCTCTGATCTACCTTGAGTTGATTTTTGTGTATGGTGTGAGATGTGGATCCTGTTTCTGCAGGCAGTAGTCTAGTTGTGCCAGCATCACTGGTTGAGGAGGTTGTCATTTCCCCCTTTGATAGGTTTTATTTCCTTGTTGAACATCAGTTGACTGTAAACAGATAGGACCATTTCTGGGTTTGTTTATTCTGTTCCATTAGTCTATGTGCCTGTCATTGTACCAGTACAAGGCTGTTTTGGTTACTACTGCTAAGTAGTAGTGAGGTCAGAGAGTACTATGTCTCCCACTGACAAAAGTTTACAAAATACTACTGGGCCTCCACAAGAAAAAGACTGATAACTCAATGACAAAATGGGCAAAACATATGCAAAGACTTTTCACAGAGGAAGACATTTGGATGGCCAAGAAACACATGAAGAAATGCTCAAAATTACTGGCAGTAAGACAGATGCTAATGAAAACCACAATAAGACACCATCTCACCCAGTCACAGTGACAAAATTTAACAGGACAGCAACCAAGAAATGTTGGTGA